ACTTACTAGTTTGTTTATCCTGCAAAAAATAACGTTTGACAGAAACTAATACCAATGTAAACAGACTTGTGACAGCAGTTTCAGCCATTGGTTTCATAGCAATGTCGATTAAATCATAACTAATTTGAATACAACAGGATAAATTTTTTTATAATGTTTGTTATTGTAACTATTTAAGGAGAAGAGATAGAGAAAAAAAATTTCTGCACAAAAAATGTTCATAAAAAATAGATAATTTTAGTTCTCACAAAACATGGGTATGTTCTTGAAAAAAAAAGTTTTTGACGTCATTTTTTTATTTTCCGAATTTTGAAAAAAATGTTTTTCTAGTGCAAAACGGTCCTTAGCGAGTCCCGATTCACGCAATCTAAACAGATTTTTACCTTCTTTTTGTCGTTTTTTGTTTGTTTGTTATGGGCCCGAGATGCGAACTTTGGGACACTCTGTACAGTCTCAACAGCTATCTGTTTTGGTCTATAATGAATTGTTTCGAATAATAATTATCTTTCGAGTTTTAGTTCAGTACAATTTCTTGAACGTTAACTATTAACGCAATGAAATCGTATTTTCAAAAACTGAATTTTGAATCATTTTATTTTCAAAAATTAAAGATATTAATTATTGAATATCTATGTCAAATGTATTTTGTATACCTTAGGCAGTTCTAATAATTAACATAAAATTGTAAAGGTCTTTTCCTTGTAGATACTATCATGACTGTGATTGATAGCCAACGAAAAAATATTAAAATTAATTGTTAAACAATATCCTAACGATATTACAGGAAACAATAAACAACCAATGAATATACAACAATAATAGACAACTGACTAGATATTGCAGGTATAATTTAATACTGGTCAGGGCAGATATTCGGCAGAGTGGTTGTTCCCCACAATATCATCGGTTAAATATCGGTTCGCCTAGTTAGAGATTAGAATAGATGCTTTCACAGTAATTACGAAATTGCAGTTCGCTTTTTCTCTGTGTGACCGTATTGAAGGCTTAGATATTGAGTAGTAGTGAACGTTCATAGATAGCACTCTGTTGCGTCTGGTAAACTGTTTAGAGAAGGTGGAAACTGTGGGAAATTGGTCAGATATAAAATATCAGGGGTCCCAAGATTTTAATTTTGCCAACGAAAAAAAAAAGACAGCGTGACAGCAGACGGATCAGGGTTATTAATAATGGAGAGTAAAAGAACAGCTCGTTTTCATGGTTGCGCAATATTTTAAAAATGAAGGTTTTACAATTTTCGTACAAACTATGGTTGGAATAGTGACTCAACTTCATCAACTTGAAGAGATTAATTGAAACAAGGAGACTGGATCAATTAGTGATATTAAAGCAGTTCCTGAGTGTTACTGGGAGTCCAGGAACATTAATTCAGCACCACGGTCAAGAATTACACACTTTGAGAAGCTTTTACAGCGTATTCTCATGAGATATTTGCATCTTCATACTTATAAAGTTCAATTGACTCAAGAACTAAACCCTAGAGAGAACTAGTGAAGAGGGTTCGTTGAATGGATTTTGGAACAAGTGGATGCTGATTTTTTTGAACAATATCATTTTCAGCGATGACAAAGTTGTCGCATTTGAGGTTGAGAAAATCCACGAGTGATTTTTCAGAAACAAATGCATCCACAACGTGTCTGTCTCTGTTTGTCAAAATTAGTTCTTGCGTAAATTTTGGGACACCCTCTATATCCAATTAGTCGGCTATTTCCAAAGTGAACAAATGAAGAAAGTCAAATACTTGATAACTGATTTAACAAAATTTTCCTTTAAAATAAAGGCATAGCTTTGGGGAGTTTTACATTTAACTATTTTTAACTAAATAAATTGTTCGACAAAATTGTTTCAATTCGTTATATTTCTCTCTCCTTTTGGAGACTTCCACGAGAGTTGTCTCTGGTGAATCAAGTGACAAGATATTTGTCGCAACATAAATTTAAATTTCCTGACATTCCTGACCTTCTCCAGAGGAATCTCTGAACCTGCAACTTATTCTACTGGTCTCTGTTTATATTAATTAACCTTGTGTTAAAGGGACACCTATGTCCCAGATATATTTGGCCGTTCTTGCAACTCGTCTTCAGATATTATAAATGAGATTAATATTTTATTTTCTTAAGAGGTGACCTATCTTATCAGTACATGCTTGTAGATATGTACGGTAGTTATATTTTTAACAAATATTCATTTTTTCGCTTATTATATACTATACTAATAACTTATTCGATCTGTTAGATATATCAGTACCAATTTACTCGTTATATTTAAGGGTACCAACTTTTGGATTGAAACAACATGATAACAACAAAGCAGAAGTTGTCATAAAATCATGTACCCAAGTTGGATACTTGGGTACATGACTACAATGTTGGTTTCAATGATACATATATATGCTGAGGTCCCACCATTCATTTGTAACAAAATGAGGCGCTAGTAAGTTTATTTTAATATACTTAACAACTAAATTATTTATAAATTTCTTCATGGGGCTACTGATTTTACACGCAAATGACAAACTCATTTACATATTATAATTATACCAAGCTAACGCTATTAATATACATATACACTTGTCAGAATTTTTTAGTGTACTTAACTAGAATTAGTACTATTGGTAGGTACTATATTGAAAGTCTGGAAAAAGTTTTTGAATTACATGTACCAATGTTACTGCGCCAATTTTATTATCCATTTATTGGATCGAAAATTGGTAAATAAATACAGAATAGATTTTCTTTCCTTATACTAAAGACTATATTTATAGACATAGGTAATTTTAAATGTTGTTGTTTTAAATTTTAAAACAAGTGTACTTTTAAAAAACAGATAATATATGAATTATAGATTAATAAAATGAACAGGTTACTTTTACTATTAGACGACAGTTATTTGTTGTTTTGGTTATAACTCGGTTATAATTAATAATGCTGGACAGAATTAACAATTGCAGCAGTTTTTCATTTGTTCGCAATTAGTCATCACGACAAATTACGGTTTTAGTTAACAAATACGCAGCATATAGCAAATTAATTTAGAGTAAACAACATTACACTGCATTAGTTATTAATAACTGCAAAAATAAAGAACCAGAGGCGTGTGAGGACAAGTATACTCTTATCTTTTTTATAATGTTTAAAATGTTTTTAAGTTGCGTGAAAAAGTTACTTGAAAAATGACATTGTGTAAATGAAGTGTCTGTCAATACGACTTATCTGACGGAAATAAGTCTAATTCAATTTGATTCCAATTTTTACTTGCATAGCAAGAAATTGTAAGAGTGTTTAACAAAATCAACCTAATATGTACATGCCACGATTGTTCATATTTTTTTGGCAAAATATTGCTTGACTGGAGGTCCTAGTCTCCAATTTTGTCTCCAGGTGACTTCTAGGTGTTTCCAAAATTAAAGTTGTCCATGTGAGAAATTAGAATTCCATAGAGGATATTTAGCATAATTTACACAAAAAGTTTCTGAGATCGATTCCAACTGAACTTTTTAAATATAATAATTTTTATTCCTTCAAAAATGCATAGATAATGTATAGGAAGTGTTCTGCGCTACTCATCCACACAACATGCCAAGTTACATAATAAAAAAATATATTTAAACGAATACAATATTAGAAGTTCAAAACCATACACTAATAAGAGTGTTTCTTTTTCTCTATGAAACTGTGTTTAACAATCCATAATAAGAATAAATATAAACAACGCATTTTGTTTTATTTGACTTCTACCGCTTTAGGAAAAATTCCGAAAAAGTAGCCGGCTACGCCCCTGGTTTCTCATTAATAATTTACTAGATATATTAATGAACATCCACGCTACCCGATTCCATCACACTGGCTAAATTCGTTGCACTGCAGTTGAAAATGTTGTAAACAGAATTAGCCCTATTTGCCTACCGAATTATAAATGAATGAGGTAAAATGGGCGTTGCATCATTAAAATTAATTCATATTAATAGTTAATTGATATCTTTAATAATATCTATTATTGCGTGTCATTTAACATTTATATAACAATATAGGTACGGCATCTGCTTACGCGATTAGATATATTTTAATCTGTTAAAAATCGAAAAACGGTTTAGTAACAGTTGAAGATAACACATCAAAAGGAATTTTTAATAACCTGCAGAACTTTCATAAGAACTGTTTCTTAAAACTGTTTGAAAATGTATGTTTCTGTGGCACTAATCACAGGAGGCTAGAAAACCAAAAGGGGACAAAGGAATAATGATTGTTAGGAAGTTGTCAAAACTAAATCCTTAAATCTGTTATAAACTTATTCTTCTTATGAAGAATTTACTATGTTATCTCAATGCAAGCCTAGGAAGCCTGATAAAACATTTAATATAGTCTTACACGATAACTTTTATCGAGGTTTTTTCATGGTACTCCGAAAAGCTAAATTTGTCTTAAATAATTTGTCGTTAAAACTGTTTTATTTTATAATATTTGTTGTCAAAGTAAAGCAAATGTTTTATACTCATGGAAGGAAACATAAACTTTGGAACATCATGTCAGGTTAATGAAATTATTCTATACCTATTATCTTTTCAAAAGACAAGGAGTTTACTGTTGAAATATATTACATTAACTCTAAATTTTCAGTACCTCTCACTATATTTTAAAATTTTCCACCCTGCCGTTACAGTATATACAACTAGTTAAGGAAAACCCTGTATATAGAGTGACCTATAGCTATGATGTCAACGACAATTTTTTTTAAATATAAGTAGTTGTTTTTGGTGTTGAAATAATTTAATTGCCCTTAAATTGACGTTTCTTTTAATGTTTTTTTCGTATCTCCTCAAATAAGCGAGGTAATGGAGTGGAACTGTTATTTGGCTGACTGTACTTAACGCAACATACCATTATAGATGCACTAATTTAAATTATTATTTTCATTGCCTCATTTTAATGATAGTAATGCTGATTTGCCCGGCTACCCTGTAATTACTCTGAAAAAGTGCTTACCTCGCTTCTGGATGTCTTCCCTGGATATCTGGCTGGTGAGAGCGGTAGGAGCTGGAGGAAGGCCAAGATGCGGAGCGGTAGGGGTGCCAGGGTACCAGGCCCAGCCCGGCGTTTGCCCGTTAAACATCCGCAGTTTGTCATAAACTGACTCATTTTGGGCAGAGGCTTGCTGCTCCTTCTGTGACGCCAGGTTTCTGAGGACTCGGTTTATTGATGACACCTGCAACGAGAAAAACGGGTCACGATAAATCGGTAATAATGACTGTGAATTTAAGGTAAGCATACCACCTGCGCAAAATACACATAAATGAATGTAATTTCAAAACTATAGTACGATGCAAAGTAATAAATCATTGCCTGTCAAGGGATCCAGTGCCATACGCTTTTAAGGGTTTTAGAAATAGAATAATTTCATTATACATTATGATGGGACGAAGGGATCAGTTCACGTCTGGCACCCTTGTTCCTACAAAAATTCCTTTATTCTCATAAACTATTTATTTTAAATGAAATTTATTATAAATTCAGTTTGTTTTTTAATTCCACATATGTACTACATTTTACCTCTGTACGCACCACTGTTGTTTACTTGTTTTTTGAAGGCGTTCTCTGATATACGACCAAGCTCGCCAGGTTAGTCTTTGACGTATAACCGACCACTTCGTACACTCGATGCACCTGGGCGACTACAGCTACTACCAGAACACAGTGCGTATGCAGCAGTATTTCAGATTTTACATTCAATTTCATGTTAAATTTGAAATGGTTCATCTTACGTCTCCTAAAAATGATGACACGATTTTCCTTTGAGAAAAGACGGACAACTTTTTGCTCTACTTTGCATCGAATACGATCCTACTATAGAAATTTTAAACACGAAATTATAAGTAACAATGATACGTTACTGGAAACTAGAATGTTCTAGCTAATACCATCACATGCAAAAGTATTGACTGCGTTTATCTCAAAAATGGATCAACAAAAAAGTTTGAAAATATATATGTACATGTTAACAATCAGTTAGGTACCAAATTCTGAGAACTTTAGATTTCACCGTTACGAAGATTTTCATTGTATCCATTAGGTATTATCGAGTTTCTTCTTTTTTCAACCTAAACTTCGAAGCAAACAACAAACTATTCTAAAAAATATTTCATAACAATTCCACAGATAATAATTAGGGGATATGAGCGCAAAGAACTGCCAGAGAAGGGTTTTCCATTTCATACTCATCTTTAAATCCCCCTTTGTATACGATAAGAATAAGGGCTTGTAAACTACTCCCTAAGAACGTGAGACCTGAAAAAGTTTTTAGTAAACCAGGAACTTGTAACCCAGAAATTTTTCTCCGTATAATTCCTTGAAGAAGATTCATTATTTCAATATCACTTTTTGATTTGACTCACTGTACGCTACCAAAATGTCGTTCCTCTTCTAGTACATGCTTTACTGAAGTTGTGCTTAAGTTGTCAGAACGCTGTCCTTTTCAAATAATGATGCAGCTCTTATAGTGTCGCATATCGAATTAACTCAACTTCACTCAACTTTCCAATCAGAACTACAAAGACGGCTTCAATCACTGTACACAGGGCTAATCCCGGTCAAAGTAAAAACCCATGTCCGAGAAACCTAAACTAGATGAGAAACAGAAGGCGCGGCGTGGAAAATATTTTCAACTATTTTTCAAAAATTTCCCAGCCGCCTCAAGCACCAAAGCTGCAGCAGTGACACCACCGGAGGCCGATGAAGCAGCCGATGATGACACGAATAGAAAATTCACCTCAGTTTCAGATTTCGAAAAATAAATTCGCAAAATTCGAACTGGGGAACCGCAATATAAAATCAAAACACTACAATCCAAAGATAAGCAAAGTCCGTCCTAGACCTTAGTTCTAAAGACCCAACCACTCAGCCATTGTCCAGTCCTGCGGTGAAGATCCCACAGAATGCAGTAAGCCCCCAAAAGCTTCCGAACTTATAGGTACTCACAGGAGGACTATATAAGCTCCAAGAAGTTTCCTTTCCATGAGATCTCAAAAACAGTTCTAGGCAAGGCAAAGCCTAAAATTCAGCGATATAGACACAAGTGTTACCATAATTGAAGATATCCATAAAAACATATTTAGTGCATCTCGGCTCAGTTGAGTCTTCGCTTGAAAAAAGGGCGCCTTATGCTGGACCATGGGCGGATTAATAAAATAGTTTCTAAACGTGTGTCCCGAAATACATATTTTTGTTTTCTGGCATAGAATCTACCATTTGTGGTTGGCCAAATATTTTAATTATACCCTGTATAATGCCTAAATTATTATACTTAAAAGAGGCATAAATATCCTGTGAACTGTTATTATAGAAATTAATTCCCAATTTAAAATATGAAGTAACAGACCATTCCAATAAAAAAGTGTGGATAACAAAATGAGAATTACTCTGAACACACTTTTCTTACCCCAATTTCAAATTGACCTAACGGTCCGCTAAAAGCTGCAATCGTCGCTAAAACAATGCGTGTACACAGTACACAGTTATTAACACATAGCCACTTACGATACTAGTATTGCTAGTACTAGAATCCAGTACTGGTACAAGTTACTGGCATGGCGTTCAACCGTTTTAAAATTTCTTTACATGTACAAATCTTTCCATATCTCAAAATCTGTTTGGCAAATTGTAAGAACTGGGATTTAATCGATTCCCCTCGACAAAGACGATTCATTATAAAATCCCATTCACACATATATTAAATCTAACCATCAAATATAATATACACTTATATCCGTATTCCCGTGGTTCAACTACCGGGAAGTTAATTTTTAACAATTTAGAATTCCCACAAAGTGGTGATTATCATCAAGACGGCATTGTCCCCTGGGCGCGCTCGAGGAATCAAACTCGGTCTACCGAAAGGGAAATGACTGTGGTTTCATAAATTGAACAATTTTATACTGAGAAATTGAATTACATTTTACGATAAATTTCTTTCGGGTCCGTTTTGAAATTCGCGTTATTACCCATGTTGCGTCCCTCCCGATAGGGGAAACCGGTGAAAAAATGTCACAGGAAATGCCCAATACCAGAATTTTATTACTTCCGGATTGAATATCTAATAATTTTGTATGCGGTAAGGTGAAATCATGTATGGAGAAAGATTTGACGTTCTATTATTTGGAACACTTGAAAACTGAAATTATTTTTCTCATCCTAACTTGGATGCAATATGCAATATGAAAATAACAGGGAACTGTGAGAACATTATTAATATATAAATATATAAGATACAGTTTACAAAATGACTATACCTATACCTATAGGAAAGAAGTTAGGTTAAGACAAAAACAGAAAAATTGAAAAAGAATAATATGAGCGTTATTTTAGAAGACACAAATGAATTGAAGAAACAAAAGATGAAAAAAATGTATAAGTAAATGATGAGAAATTTGGACACAAAAGTTGCAGATTATAAGAACAGAGGTTTGAAAAAGAGGACCATAGATGAACAGAGAAGATAAAATATGTGGAAGCGATAAGAAAAGACTATAGAATCCTAAGTGGTGAAATAGCTTTAAGAGAATTTATATTTGAATGAGGTAGAAAAGTATGTGGAAAGTTTTATACATAATAATAATCTAAAAATGAGGAAGTAGAACAAATAATTCAGACAAGATACAGATGCGTACTATATTTATACAACAGGAAGATCGCTAAAAATTTAAAATAAGAATGAATAAATCAGCTCAGGCCATTGGTGACAAGCTGCTGAGATTATGTTTTTAACAGAGAAGGAAGCAAGAATTAAAATGAAATAATGAGAAAATTATTGGATGAATTTGGGATCTAGTAAAAATAAATAAAGGGGAATATAGAATAATGGATTATAATGCAGTGGAAGGCGCTTTGAAGGAAGAAATTAAAATCAGAATAATAAAGATGAGGAGAATAAGGTGGAGTTCAGTGAGTCGACTGACGATTGACAATGTGGACGTCATTTGAAAAGGAAAAGAGGAAGGCCTAAAATGAGATGGGAGAGACTTGTAAAAGATATAAATATAATGAGCGTAACAGATTGGAGAAAACTAGTGATAGTGAGAGAAGTGGAAAACAGTGAAAACAGCTAAATCATACAATATGAGTGTGAATCAGAAGTAAATCGTGTGACTCGCCATATTAAATGAGTGAATAGAACTCGAAAGATTGATTACAATTCCTCACTTGGACTGTACGAATGGACTTTAATGCATAAGTAAGTTTTATGTCAAAGTATTGCAGGCTAAATATAATGATTGTAGCCAAAGATTAAGAGGAATAATGTAACCACTTTCAATATGATAAATTGATGGTACATATTGAAAGACAGAACAGAGAAGAAACAGAAAGAACTTTATTTTTCAGAGAGGTTCAGAGCAGTTGAAAGGTAATTTCATAGTGCATACATAAATTACCTATATTATGATTACCACGGAAAACTTAGTAATCCAAATCCTGGATACAACTTTAAAAACAGTAGTAGATTCAATGTTTAAAACTATTGACGTTATTGGTCTCATAATTTATATACCGATGGACTCGATTTTAAATTTACTTCTTTTTATTTTCAACTCTATATTGATCGTGATATTACCATTCTAATTGGTTAAACAATTTCCTTGTGGGTTGCCACATCATCGGTTTTACTTCTTAACATGTCGAGGAATAATATCACATTCACTCAGTATTTCTGAGCTGATACTGAAGATTAAGTTTTTTGGTCGTTTCTCTCTCTCTATCCCCCCTCTCGCTCTCTCTATTCCTACCTCTCTCTCTTTCTCTCCTTCCCCCTTACTCCCTCTCTATCGCTATCAGACACTAGAGTATTGGTCACGATGTTGGTAATAGTTCTTTTGAGTGCTCTGTATCAGGTATTATCTTTTTCAGCTACTATCTTTCCTTTTTTGTTTTTAGGTTCTCCTGTCTTGGAAGTGAAAATGTTCCGTTTTCCACCTGTTGGTTTCTCTTTTTCTTTTATTTCTTCCAATAACTTATCTTTATAGGGAGTTGAGGAGAGTATTTCTGATTTCTTCGACTTATTTCTTCTAACTTGTACGTGTTTAGCCTTCGGCAATGGCAAAATCATTATTGGTGTCATGGGGTGACAAGATGGACCAGGTAGATCTGATTCCACGCACTGACGAGAAGGATCAGGCAAATCTAGATCAATGTCAGCTGGAGGTGTGGTCTGTGGCG